AGTTAAGAATAAATACAGAAAATAATAAAGGAAAAATACAAAAATAAATTTAGGACTACATTTAATTAAATTTGTTCTGTCAAGTCATTTATACCTTTATTTTCTTCTTCTTATTATTATTTTTATTAATTAATTCATTTATTTTCAATGAGATTTTTTTTTATTTATTGTTTTTTAAATGTAATTAAGTTTAATTTAAAGGCACAATATGTCATTTTCGCCGCTAGAGGGCGCGTGCTCAAAATAAACAAAGAGACAAAGGCGTAGTTTGATGACCGAGTGTGACCGATGCAATCCGACGGGACTCGGGCAGAAATCATGTTCATGGATGAGCTAATGAATGATTGATTTAGTAGAATGAAGCAGGGTGAGGCTGAAAGCCGTCGAAGTGAAACGAGGTGCTGAACCAGCGCAACACACGGCTCGAAAGCAGCGGAGCTTTTATTATGCCAGTCGAACGCTTCCGCTGCTTCCGGTCGTGCGTGTGTGGGGTAAAGCAGCGCTGTTTTATCATACGAGATACATTTGAACGGTCTGTTATAATGCTACTCTGTGCGGTCGTCACCGGTCTATTAAAACACACAACATATTAAAGCGTCTTTGGTGTTTCCATGTTTTCTACAAAACAAAACCGGAAATCGAGGGTGTATGACGTCATTGGCAGACGACACAGTGACACTATGGACACGGTCCGTGTCACTAGTTAAAATTGCTTATTTCTCTGGATTTAAACATTCTTCGAAACATTTGGGATAATGTAAGTACACAAGTCAGCAAAATATATAACACTGTTCTAGTGGTTTTTGGATATTTTAATAAAAAAATCTTACATATTGTGCCTTTAATTTTTGCAGGTTTGGGCCTCCATACATCAAAGTTACATGAAAATAAATAATCTGTAAAATCTGTTAAAACTCTAGTGTAATAATATAAAGGAGCTACTGAATCAGAATGAGCTTTTATTGTTGTTGTTTTTTTAATTACTGTTACTGTATATTATGCACTAAATTTAACTAAAAGAAAAAACATGGTAACACCGTGTTTTTTTTGAACGTACTACAGTGCTACCATAGTTTTTTGGATTATAGATTTGTTGGGACATAGTTTCTATGAAGTATTGTAGAAATACATATTCTGATTCCATCACTATACTAGGGAATATGAAATTGGGAATATAAAATTACTTTTTAGAAACCTAATCACTGAATGCATTGTATCTCTGCCACTAGAGTGATACTGAAAACAAAACTAATCCCAAATGTACTTTTATCAGTGATCTCTCTGCTACACTAAGTTTTGTTAAAAATTGAGCAAGAACCCAGACATGAACATGCAGGAAAAACACAAAAAACCCACATTAAACAGGAACAACATGAGACACATGTAAACAGCACATGTAAACTTTATTCTCTGTCTATGTATTTAACTCTTCAGTCTAAGGAGCCGCTACACACGGAGAAACCCAATCACTTCTTGTATTTTATGCATATTGTTTTCCTAAAAAATAATGTATCTTTTGACTACAACATTACACTATAGACAGTGCATATGGCTTGCAGTAATACAGATGATGAACAGCACCAGAAAAAGCCTCAATAATCATGCGCAAGTTAACAGCTACATCGACCTAGCGTTAAATAAACAGACGTCCGGTTGATCTTCACATTGTAAAACTGAAATTTAGTACGCCTGAAATGTAAACAAAAAGTTAATACTTGCAGAATCAAATGATTTAAAACAGATAAGAATGGACAAAAGAACCAAGAAATTAGTCTGTCGCTACAAATATCGTACCATTCACCCTAATTACAGTACACTCTTAAAAATAAAGCTGCTTAAAAGGTGCTTCACAGCGATGCCATAGGCATAGAAGAACCATTTTTGGTTCCACAAAGAAGCATTCAGTCAAAGGTTCTTTAAAGAAGGATCTCTTACCTTTTTATAATCTGAAGAACCTTCTTTCGCCACAAAGAACCAAAGAGGTTCTTCAGATGTTAAAGGTTCTTTATGCAACCATTTAGACAAAAAAGGTTCTTCTATGGCGCCGTGAAGCACTTTTATTTTTAAGAGTGTTGTTTGTTTGGGTCTAGAGTCTTTCCTCTCGTCATCAGTGCGATCTGATCAATTTCAAATGAAACATAAGTTAACGAGCAGCTTGTTGTGCGGTGAACACAACACACGTATGTAAGGAGCGCTGGATGTTCGTTTGATTGCAGAGATGCTTTGTCATGCTTCCTGAATGCAGCACAGGCACACATTTCCCAGAATTCCTAGCGGGAAAATTCAAGGCTGAAGGTTGAAGCCGTACACCGGAGGAGCGAAGCCGTAAGCTGGGAAACCCGTCTGAGGAGTGACGGGTGTCTGACTGCCGCTCAGCGTCAGCTGTTGACCTGCATCAACAAAAACACACACACACACACACACACACACAGACACACACA